CCTGTATAGACAGAATGTTTTTAGTTTGCCTTACTGGAAGAGCCATTGCTGTGTATATGAACAACATTTTAGAGATAGTGTACGTTCGTTCAATCGTGTAGCGAAGTTTTCGCTTGATCACGTTGGACACATAATCACCCTTGAAATAGAGTAAGATACTAAATGGATTTTTTGGCACGGATAATTCAGGAGGGTTTTCTGGTGGCTATAATTATCGATGAATTTCGCCAGATACCAGTTTCCAAACACTCATTCTTCAGGAAACTGACCATTTCATCAATCGTATTCGAAGACCAGATTCTAGTGGCTCTATTAAACAGGCATAAAAGCGAATTTCGTTTCCTCTGAATTGAAACGAAACCAGGGAAATGTATGTATTAATTCTCTGTCTTTGGGGTCTTCGACTATGGCAAAAATGTCATCCACGTATGGTCTATACAAAAACAACTGCCTTCTTTAGACCATACGTGGATGACATTTGCACCATAGTCGAAAACCACAAAGACAGAGAATTGCTACCATAGCCTAGGAACAAGGCACATGCAAAGGTCAAATTTAAGATCTCGCATGAGACAATTGACGCAAGAGTTCAATCTCCAAGCATCCGTTGGATACCGTCCAAGCGATGGACCCGAATACTGCATTTAAAGTCGTACTTCGTGTGACCACCGGGCGTCTCCTGCGATTCGCAGAGGCCGTGGGTTAAAACCAGAACGCTAGATCACGTATTCAAGCCCAGGTTGCTGCGGTAAGGATCAATAAAAGATGGTACCACATTCAGTTGACCCATTTGTGTAAAGTTCGTGGCCTCGGTGGGAGTCGAACCCGCACGACCCTCCAAATAAATAAATAAGCCCAGTTGTCATTCTGGTGGATTCTAGATGATTGTTTAGGAAATTTTGCTTGGACAGTCAGCTTACTGTAGCCGTAGTGGTGGATTCCATACGAACAGGAGGCTGGATGGGTAAGCCGACCCAAGTGTGATTAAATTCACGGCTCACAGTGAGCCTAACTACCTAGCTAACTGATAGAA